GTTCCTTTTTTTTTTTTCATATGTTACCCGTGAAATGTGACCGTTGGGCGGAAACCAATCAGGTTCTGAGCGGTTACACCTTATCCTATCGATTGTATATTGAACACATTTCTGTACTATCATACGTTCCACATGTAAATCCGAATAAAAAATCGTTTATAAACCTGATTATCGCTCACTTGATTAAGGCCATAGTTAGCGCTTCGTCAGAGCAATTGAGTGAAACGCTCGAAAAGTCAGCGTCGAAACTACGGTGGCCAATTTACATCATAAACCTAGCTGATCACATCAAATTATCTTGCAATACTTCCCCACCGACGCAGCAACACAGTGTCTTTAGATACTTACCCCCTTTATGTACAGGATAGGCTTGTGATTAAGGCTTCTGCAGCGTGAATTTTTCTGGAAAGGCGGGCGCTATTCGTAAATTTATGAACCGGCGTGAAGCGTGATTTACCTCCCGAAATGTACATAACCCGTAACCCTCTTCTTTAATTTCGTCACAACCAAGATTTTCCTGAATCTTGCACACAAAATTCCTTATTAAAATTTGGGACGCGTGAATCGCTGTTTAAAGTGAACGAGGCGTGAGGATATTTCTAAAATTGTGCGTAAAAGTGGTAGATCAGGACCCCCTTAACCCACCCCCCCCCCAGCTTTGCTAACCATAGTGCTGAGTACCCTGTCACGCACCCCGAGGTTTCGGACGATGAAACGATGAAACGAAACGAAAACAAGATGAAACAAGACGCAACACTGGTAGCCCAAATTTAGTACAAATTCTTGGACGAGCGTATGAAAATAACCGGTACGTTTGTTTGTGTGAAGGGGGATGTGCAATTTTCGTGGCACAAAATCACTCATTCTCCGAGGGAACTGTATTGGCGAAATGCCCGTCTTTCGAAGGTTGTTTGATACTCTTAAAATAAAAATTAAAAAACAAAGACTTGTCTAAAATGTGCTAATTTCATTGCTTGAGTCCGTTTGAGACATCCTCGTTCCTTTTTAACGAAAGCACCTAGGGGTCATTTCCGCTTCAATTGGTTACTTAAATAGGTCTACTCAAAGACCTGCCATTCACCGAACTGAAAAACATGCAAAGATGAAGTGTGCGAAAGGAACTTTGATGTTATTGGTAACTTTATTCGTCTTTTTCTTCGTCCCATCAAGTCAATCGACTGCAGGTAAGAGATCAGAGCCTGGATGTTATTCTTTGCACAAAGTCAACTAAGAACTGACTTCTTCGTCAAAATTCATTGCACGAGAGCATCCAAACTGAGCGAGGCGAATGTCTTATGATACTGTTTTGTCGTGAAAGAGTTTCGTTGTTACCATCTCTATTCATCGACTGACGGATTCACCGATCATAAAACATACTAGCTCTCTTCTTGATAGAATTACTTGTTGTGATCAATTGAAATAGAGTTAAAACGAAGAAGGTAACTGTGTCTTGCAGAAAAAGAAGAAGTAATGACCGTGATAGACATCTATAAATTTAGGCGAAGATATTTTTTCAAAAGCAAAATTTCACCTTATGGAGCATTCAATCATTATAGAGGATTTGCTAAATTCGAGAGTTCTTGTCATTAAAGTGCCCCTGAGACGAAAATTGACCATTTTATTTTGGCCTAAATTGTTTACACAATGTTGAATTGGGTCAAGTTAAGAGCCTTTTTGCCATTAAAAACTCAAAACAAACCTTCGATGACCAATTTTTACCGCTTCAAAGTCGTCCAAAAATCGTCCGCTCCTCCTGAAAACATGTTCCAGCCGAGCCCGCAAAAACGTCATCATGACGTCAAAGGCTCAACAAACTTATGCTTTGCTTTGTCACAACTCTCTTTGTTCGCTGCACAGAGAATCACACATATTACTTTTTTGAGAACTGTTTCGTTGTCAGTCGGGAAATGTCGACTTTTTCAGACGATGAATTGTCCCAGAAATCATCTGAAGCTTCTGTGGATAGTTTTGCGCCGACAAACGATGAATTTTTGCCATGCGAATAAAGATAAACACAGAACGGCACGGACTCCCCATGTGGCTTTTGTGGTCGCATCGCTTTATCGCCTTCGAACTGTATTTTTGCTTGTCGTAAGGGATTTTCCTTTTTTGTAAGAAATGATCGGGTGATTAGTAAAAATAGTTTTCGGCAATGGCTAATTGTGTATCCGAAGGCGGATATTGGGAGTTTGTGAAAGCCATTTCTAAGCCATCAATGTGTTTTCCCCGATGCATTTGGTCAATGATCTCATTAACCCTTTCCTACGTGTTTTTTACTATCGGTGCTTTGAGAGGTTTGAAGTGAACTCTGTTGTTGAGTTGCACTTTGGCCTCTTTTGTTTTTTCTGTCTTATTCATGATGACTATTGTTGTGTTGCTTCGGTGAGGTTTAAAGCAGAGTTTGTTTCAACTCTTTTAGAGCCGTGACCTCATTGCGTTACAAAGTATTTTTTGGCTTAGATGCAGTCTGCAAGTAGCGTTATGACAATTTTCCAAGTAGCTCTGAAGGGCGATAGAAGACTGAACCGGTGGCATTCAGTTTGATATGAAACAGAAGTGGTTCTTTGTTTTGTCCGTGAAAGGTGTAACGGAGGCGCATTCGTCTTGCGAATAAATCTCGCAAAAGTTGGCCTGATTTTAAATTCGTTTGTCACGGGCGTTGGGATGAATTTGAGACCCTTTGATAGCACGCTGACTTGGCTGTCAGATGGTTGATAGTTTGACAGGTTTTTAAAGAAATTTTCATTTTCTCGGTTTTTTGGCTGCAAGCCTACATTTTAAAGTGTTTTTACGCTCTGTGTCTTAAGCTGTTTGTTCTGCTTTCGCTGATATTAAAGCCAGCTTTTTTTAGAATCAGAGCACACAATTATATTTTTCATCTCTTTTGTATAAAAGTGAGCTCTTTGAGGTCAGAAATCTCAATCCTCAATTCGGCTATTTTATCATTCTTATTTACAATGTTCACCGAGTACTTTCCTTTGTGTAAGGTATTCTGCCAGAGAGTTGTTAAAGGTGGATATTGATCAGCTCATATGTAAAGGTGACAAAATCCGTGGAGGTTCGTAGACTTCGCTTTCCGGCGTCGAGATCGCACTGAGGACGGTTTTTCTTGTCCCTTCTCTTCTTGAACGGTAGGCACTGAACCCGACAGAATTCTTCGCCTAGATCCTTCAAAGTACACAGATCTCTCGAAACAGTCCTCCGAGAAGTGTTCGGAGTAGATCACAAATATTTCTGTAGGATTGAAGTTTACTCGGCGAGGTCGCACAAATCGCATCCGTTTTTCCCGCTCTGATCTATTTGCAAGGCTCCGATGCAGAGAAATACCTGCAGCATGGTCTGCACGATTACTTCAGCTTTGAATTACGCATCGATGCCCAGTCATTTTTGTTTAGTTTTTGTAACAATAGAGTAAAGCATTCTGTTATGTTTGCTTGACATTTTGCCATGTGAGATTTTCGCGTTGAGCCTTTGATGTCACTTCCTCTGAGTCCTGCGATCAACTTCCGGAACATGATCAAAATTTGACAGAGTAGGTGAAGGAGACGCACTGAACACAAAAATGGAAAAAAATGATGTACGAAAATTTTGATCTCAGTGGTACTTTAAGCGCGGGGACAAAGTATTTTTTCCAAAACCGACAGAGGAGAGCTTTGTTTAGTTAGAGGGACAGGGCTCTCTCCTGTCTGGACTAAAAATTTTTTATTTGAGTAATTTCTAGAGACCCGCCCTTTAATTTCACTTCCTCCGGTTTATCTGTAAAAGGCCTTGATGCTATTTCACACGGAACAATTGTCAATTGAGTGCTGAAAGTAATTCGCGATCTTTGCTTTGGTTTTACTTAACTTTGCTCTGTGATTGGTCCAGAAACCTCACGCCATCCTCTCAACCAATCAGATGTAAAACTGGCAACAATTCCAACTTAGTTTTTCGTGTTTTTTCACCGCGCTTCATGATAATGCAATAGTTTTTTTCCGATTGGTTGCTGGAAGTACTTTGGTCTTTAACACCCAATTGAAAACTGCTCTATTTGACAGCGATTGTACCCAGTCTCTTATTCGTTTAGCCTACAAGTATGAACAATTCAGTTTCTAATAATACTTTTCTTTGATTTCAGAAGCTTCTTTGGTTGCTAACTACGACATCATGAGATGCTTCGAAATCCACATCACATTTCACTATCAAATTAACGGAGGGCTCACAAAACGCACCCTAGCGAAGACCAAAATGCGGTTTTCTTATCTTTTTCAACGAATCCCCCTCCTTCTCTCATTTCACCCAGACTGCATGGGTGTCTTGATCAAAATGAAAGATATACTTAACTCCCCGCCGGGAGTGAAAAGTATTTTTTTTTTAAATACCAGCGATATTCAATCCATCAACAAATGTAGCAGATTGTGAAATTTCAACAAAGATTACAGCTTGTATAAGTACCCTGACGACAAGATACAAACGACTCTTAGACAGCGACCCTGTGAAAATAACCCAAAATGGCACTCACACGACGTACAATGTGTCCACTGTATCAAAAAAGCGATCTTGCTGTGGTGGGAATATACCGCCACTCTGTTGCGCCGTGGGCTCAGTTAAAGTGTCGAGTACTAAATGTGGTGAGTCAAGAAGACGTTCGGATTTTTCGCTGTTTACGACGGTGTAATTTCACTTCACTGCAATCACCAAAGATTGCCGTGATTAGTTAGAATCGCAGTTGCTTTGACACCGCGAATTGTATAATCAACAGTTAGGCCAGTTTCGTTATATTTTTCATCATTCCTGATTTCTTCTGTTTTGTTTTTGAACACGAAACCACATTAGGTATTCGAGCGTTTGCTGTGTGTGAGCTTTATTGCTGTACGTACTGAAATGACAATCCAAGTCAGGCGCGGATCTAGGAAAAATTTTCACCGATTTACTGCAAAACGAGCGAAAAAGGCACAAGCTCCAAGGGGGGTCCGGAGGCATGCTCCCCCGCGAAACGTTTTCGATTTTAACTAAATAAAGTGCCCCTTCCTGGCTTTTTGAGTCAGTCAGAAGATATATTTGCTGCTACTTGCACTTTAATTTATTGAAAATATATAATTATCTGTTTATTTTTTTCATTATGAAAATTCTCACCTATTTCCGTAAAACGNCCCTTGAGGGACTGGTACATTTTCACTGTATTTCGTGTTTCCTTGCAGACCCATCATCGATTGGCAATTACGATGTGAAACGATGCTATGTACTTGACGTCATATCCCACTACCGAATCCCAGGGGGCCTTGCAGTCAAAGCCATCAGAGATATCTCAAAAGAGTTTCACAGTTTCTTTCTGATTGTGACCAAACCTTATCTCACTCTTGAACAATGTAACAAGGTGGTTATTACGGTTGGAAATATAACATCAACTCCGCCAGGAGTTAGCCATGTTTACTTCAGAATACCAGTTACTTTTACGGCATCAAGCAACACAGCTGATGATGAAGTGGCTTTGAATGTTACCACTTGTATAAACGCTGCAAATACCACTTTAAGAGGATATGTCGACCAACGCGCTCCAAACATAACTAAAAATAAGACTACATACCAAATTAACCAGCCATCTTTCCTGGAGAAGAGGTCATGCTGTGGTGGGGATATACTGCCGCCTTGCTGTGCCGTTGGCTCAATCATGGTTTCAAGCACGAAATGTGGTAAAGATTTTTGCTTTTTTATTTTGAAGGAAATAAACATTCCATCAACAAAAAGATACACAACGTTGTGCAGCAGCATTTTCAGCTTATGTAGGTGCAGGAAATTCCTAACTGCATCCCCACCCCACACCCCTCTCTTCGAAAATCCTTTGACACTAAATAGAACCTTTGCGTTTCTTCTCAAACGTTTCGGATCAATTGTGGGGATTCACATTTGACTTCTATTAGGCAAACATTAAATCACATATATAAGTAATGTTTCATATTTGAAGATTTTTCCTGTACATATTTTACTTTTTTTTCTGTTGCTCGCTTGCCTTTAAATTTTCAATTGAGTACGGAAAGTGATCCTGGATTAATTTTGGATTTGTTTTACTTCCTTCGACCTGTGATTGGTTTAGAGAACTCGCGTCTCCTTCTCAGCCAATCAGATGCGAAATTTAAGCTAATAACGACTTGGTCAATCTCGTTTTCACGCGCTTCAAGCAGGTTGTCGTTGCTATCTTGAGTTCTCATTGGCTGATGATGACGCTAACCTTTGTTCTGATCGGCAGTTGTGATTACCTCGTTTTGGTTTTCCGAGACTCAATTTAAGACTGCTGTAAAAGAATGTCCATTTATCGCCTGATAGAACTTTTTCACGCCGCCTGTACTCACTGGATATTATTACTTTAGGTTGTGCTCCTGGATTTCGTTACGCTCCTGGTTTTAGCAGTTCCTGTCTACGATGTCCGTCAGACACATATCAGGATGAGAAAGGCCAAAGGGAGTGCAAGAAGTGTCAGGAGAGAAACGAAAATTTAACAAGACAGGAGTGTCGAGCGAGTCCCACTGTTTAGGTCAGCGCCAACAGTAAATTAAAACGAGAAATTAAAGAAGATGACTATGGCTGTCTCAAGTATTGAGTAATATTTCATCAATATCTCTAGTGGTTTTTCGATAACTGCTTCATCTTAAATTCATTGATAATTTTGAGTTTGAAACGCTCTCCTTTCCTTAAAACATTTGAGAACTCCCTTTGTATAATCATTTCTTTTTCTTTTAGATGCAAATCCTCTGCAAATTCATGACCAAGTAGTCAAGTTCCTGCCTGAAAACATCAACAACGAAACGGTAGTCGCGAATGTTACTGTGAGCGCAGTTCTGTCTACCCTTGTTCGACCATTTGTGTTTTACATAGAAAGGGTCACACAACAACGACAATATGGCGAGATGTCAAGGCGAAAGCAGCGAAAGGTTGAAGTTGGCTCTCAGTGTATAGAGCCTGGTCCCTGTCCTCAAATCTCCGTCGATTTCTGTTTCGAGGCAGGCACCGTCAGACCAGAAAATTATTTTTGCATTCACCGATTCACTGGACGAATAAGGGTAACGCAAAACTTTGTTTTCAAGGAAGGTGAAGAATTCGATTTACAAATCCGCGTGACAGACGGTGGCATAAGGGGAATCAACGAAAACACAGTCGTTATCAGACTCATTTCTGGTGACCCGTGCAGGAACGTCAATGCAATTTATGATGAAGCCGTCAAATATTGCATCAAGAATTCAGAATCTGTCGATGGAGAGAAAAGGTGCTTAAGTAAGCAATGCACGGAGGCTGCCCATGATTGAAAAGAGCTGATCCTCAAAATCTTGCAACTACCATGCGCGAACACCCACGCTGTGGTAAGTCACGTGTTGAACAATCGACTTCATCCCAGCAGCTTCGCAGCTTTTTTCGGTCTTGTCACGCAACTCGTTTTCTTTCTTAGGGAACACGCTGCGTGACTAACAAGCAACGACTGCGAAGGAGGCTGGAGTCGACTTTCGAACTAACCTTGAGGGGAAATGTATTCAGTGTTGATTGATACAGTGCGACATTCCTTCTCCTCCCCTATAGTCCACACGAAACATCCTAAAACACCGCTTTTCACGTCACCGTTTTGAAGGGCATCCGTTTTCTCCTGTCCACATCATTAACAGAAATTGGGCGTTTTCGATAAAATGAGCTTTCACTGTTTACCCTTTTGAAACCGTCTTCGGTCAGACTGATAGAAAACCAGTTAACTGTGTTGCAGTATTGCAGAACCGTATTTCGGATTTTGACTTGCAGTCAGAAATCCGAAATAAACATTACTAATATGCTCCAAGCTATCCACGGGCTAGTCGTTTACGAGTACACTCTTCCAGTTTGTCGTCTGTTGTTAGGCGCTGGCTTCCCTTAACCACAATTCAGCAGTTTCAAACTCTTTGTAAACAATGTTCAGTGTGTTACTCACACTTTTCAACTTTCATCTTGGTAGGTTCCAAGCAGCTTCGCCCATTATTTCCAGTGATGTTGCTGTTGGTATATGGCGTACGGAGGTGCGACAGCAAATCGGCAGGCTGATTTACTTATACTCATTCTTCAATATATGTAAAACAAAAACTTACTGAGTCTCCGTTGGGCCTTTTTTTCCTTATTAAGTGATTGCAGTTTGAGACAAAGAATTAAACTTTACTTTATCATTGTGGTTCTGTTCGTTGTTTCGGTGGGAAATAATTCTAGTATGAATTGATACTTGGGCGGACACAATCAGTTTCTAAGCAGTTACACCTTATCCTATCGATTGTATACATGTATTTGACACATTTCTGTTCTGTCATATCTTCCACATATAAATTCAAATAAAAATCATTTACAAACCTAATTATTGTATGCTTGAACTGTGCAGTTTTGTTTCTCTCATGTCAGACGGCAAGTAACTAAGCTAGCTGTGCAAAGCCACCCACCATCCCTTTACACCCTAAGACTGATATGCATATTCTCCACACCGTTCTCTCTACATTTCCTATAGTGCCGACAAGGAGAATTTGATTGACAATCTGGAGCTTCTTAAAATGGGGATCATTTACTTTATTCTCATGGCTTTTACATTTGATTTTAGGGTGATACCGCGAGGAGAGGAGAAATTACAAGCCAGACACTCTGAGGCCCCTTGCCAGTTTTTTTTTTCTCTTTTTTTTTTTCCGAGGTAAGGGGGCGGCTGTACACGGAGTACTAACTGTGAGTTGAACGTAAATGTATGGCGACGTTCGCTTTCAGAGAGGCAGGTGGTCAAGTTAGGGTCCTTTGACTCCAGCTTATGAATTACATTAGTATTGGTGTTCCTCGTTACCATTGACACTTAAGTTTTTCATCAACTCAGCGTCAGGATTTTGATCTTCTCTGTGACGGGTAGAAATACTTCTGACTTACAGCGGTTTTCGCAGCTTTTAAAATATCATGAATCATTAGAAGAGGTTGGCAAAGGGTTTATAACTAACGTTTGGTTGAGGCCAAAATTTAAATGCGACGCGGGAATTTTACAGAAAGGCGAGCGTGATTCGTGAATTTATGAACTCGCGTGAGGCGTGATTTTCCACCTAAATAATATGCGAAATGTGGATTTTTCTTTGATCTTCTTAAGAAACATCATCTTGTATAAGATTTCCCTGAAACCTTGAAGATAAGGAAGAAGATTTGAAGTTTTCAATTTTAAATTATCGACTGGTGTTTGATTTTTAAAGAATACGTGACGGGTTAATTTTTCTAAAAATGCGTGTGTAAAACGCGATCAAGACCCCCCTTTCTCCCCCCCTCCCCCTTTTGCTACTCCCTAAGGCATACTATATATATAGTACTGAGTTCTTAACGTCACGCGCGCAGGGGTATGAACAATAAAACAAGGAGGGGGGGGGGAAACAGAGGTAGCTCAAGTGTACTTCAAGCTTAGGGTTACACAAGCTTATATTTTTAAGTCCCAGCAGGTCACAAAATCGCTAATTCTGCACTCGAGCAGTGTTTTGTCCAAGATTTGTCTTGCATACTCCGGTTTGATATTGGTATCTTAAAGTTTACGTAAGCTTAAGGTTTACTTTGTGTTTCGGGTCCATGGTTTGGGTCGGTTTGAGACACACCCCTTCCTTATTAACTAAAGGTCATTTCCGCCTAATTGATATGCCGTTATATGAGGAATTGTTGTTCGCTGAACACTGCAAAGATGATGTGCACGAAAGGAAGTTTGATGTTTTTTTCAATTTTATACGTCTTCGTCTTCGTTATGCCAAGTCAACTGACAGCAGGTAAGAGAGACCTTGAATGTTATCCTTTGCAGAATCAATTAAGAATCAATTGCGCGTTGTCATCCGCCGAGACGGGCCGAGTT